TCTTGGGTTTAGAAATTTTTGGGCTATGATTGGGGAAAAACTCAAGTAGGTAGAGAAAAATTAATATATTGGATAGGTTTTCATCAACCCATCTGAAAATCGATCCAATCCAATTAAAATTTGCGATTTTTTTCGATTTTCGGTTTTCTGATTTTCGGTTTATTCGGTTATCTATTTTTTCGATTCGGTCACCACGGTTTGAATCGGTTTGGATCCGTTGATGAACACCCCTAATTAATATACTATGGGATGGGTTATTCTTACACCGGTAAAGAGTAAGAAGTCACCAACAAATCTCAGCATAGTTGGTAGATAGCTAGGTTTTTTAAGCATACTCGTGTGTATAGAAAGACTTTATTATGGAGGTTTACCCACTTAATGTAATCTCCAGCCTCGAAAGGATTAGTCTTCGACATGTCGGCCAGAAGAAACCTTAGGAAACCAAAAAAAATAAAATAAGAAGTCTTACATTAAATCTTAGCCATTAATTTGCTTGCATCTAATAACTCATATATCTAATGACAAACATTTTTCCCATATAATGTATTAGAGTTGTTAAATATAAATAGGATCGATGGCTAAGATTGAAATTGTAATTTACGTAGACGTAAAATGATCCTGACTCATATATTATTATATTACACTATCAATTCATTGATAATGAATCAAAAATTAAATTTATATGTCACCGTAATTATCTTTTTCATTAATAATTTAGATATATAATTAAAGTTCAACAGCATTAGGATTAGAAATAAATTATAATTTTAATATATATATATATATATGAGCTTATCGTTTCTCAAGGTGCTTGAGACAACTTTATCTCCGGCTACTAAATCATAACCGTACAAAGATGGATCAATGGTGATAAAGAAAGAAAGAGAAAAGGGAAATCATAACAATTCAAAGATGAATCAATTAATATAAAAAAATAAATAAACAAAACGACATAGTTTTGGGTAGTCGGAGATAAATATATCTTAGACAGCTTGAGAAATATTTTTCTATATATATATGGGAGGGGTTATATTGACAAACTTTTTTCTTACAAACTATACTAAATATGACTAGTCAGACTTCAATCAAGAGTGTATGACTAGTTAGACTTAGTGTAGTTTGTAAGAAAAAAAATTTGTCAATATAACCTTTACCTATATATATATATAGGGCAGGATCCTTTGACACCAGTGTCAAACTTTGAAATTTGACATCAAATCCTAACCGTTGATTTCCGCCAATCAACGGTTATCATTTATTAGGAATTACACTTATTAATTAATCATTAATTCCCGGAAATCAACGGTTAGGATTTGGTGTCAAATTTCAAAATTTGACACCGGTGTCAATGGATCCTATCCCTATATATATATATAGGGGCAAGATATTCTTACACCGGTGTAAGAGTTAGAAGTCTTACACTCAATCTTGACCATTGATCCACTTGTATCCAATGGCTCACATTACTAAAAAATTAGAACCCTTAGATATAAGTGGAATCAACGGACAAGATTGAGAGTGTAACTTACACTGGTGTAAAATGATCCTGACCCATATATATATATATATATATATATATATATATATATATATATATATATATATATATATATATAGAGTATGATCCTTTGATACTGTTGTCAAACCAAAAGTTTAACATATCATCTGAGAGGTGTTAAATCAAGAAAGATAAACGGTGTCACATACTTAAAATCAGAATCATTAGATCAAGGCAATACCAATGACTCTCAGGTGAGATGTCAAACTTTTTATTTAGCAGTCTTATCTAGTATACACATGACGATATTATTATTACACTTAAAAGGTGTGGGAGGCTCGTAAAATCAAATTAAAAACAAATACAACTTTTAAATAAAAAGGATTAAAATTTAGGAGATAAAGTTATTCTTACACACATATATAGGGGTTTGATTTTTTCATGTTGCATGAGAATTCAATTCTCATGTTGTGACTCAACTAGTGGTGGGCCTCACATTTATTAAAAAGAGAAAAAGAAAAAAAAAATTTGCATGCAAATCGAAGGGTCACAACATGAGAATTGAATTCTCATACAACATGAGTAAATGTTTTCCCATATATATAAAAGTATATAAAGGGATAAACAATTGTTATGTTGCAAGAAGGAAAATCGTTTTTCCATCTAACCCAAACAATGAGGTAGAATATTTTTATTATCAAATATTTCTACTATCAATCCACTAACACTCTAATATAACTATGTACTTCGAGGAATACATTAAAAATTATTTTTTTCTCTCTTCAGAAATATTTTAGAGATTGTCGGCTGAAAAGTGAAATTCGACAATGATTAGAGTAATAGTAAATTAGTAGTAGAAATATTCGGTACTAAGAATATCCTATCTCCCAAAACAATTGAGGAGAGAGAAAAAGTTGATGTGTATTTTTGGAGCACATCTTTTGGTGCTACAAGCATACATACTCATTTACTTAAAGTAAAAAGATGTGGTAATTTAGGGAAAAATAACCATACAAGATCCGGTAAAATGAGAAAGAAAAATATATTACTTTTTTCATATTTTGTAAAAGATGCACTGAGTCTTCAGTACTCCCGTACTATCAAAGATATTTTCATATTTTTAAGTCAGTTGGAAAAAAGTTTTTCGTTCCTGCAACATAAAAACATATATGAAATAATTTCAATTCCTACAAAACTTTAAATTAAATAACTGGGAAGAATGATTTATAACTTATCCTTTACAGTCTTTTATCTTGTGTGCAATGAATATCAAGATTTTCGTTTACATTCATAAATAGTGCCCATTGTTCCCCTTTTGTTTTTTTCTTATTTATTTTATTCTTTTGGCTGATCCAACGTCCAGCTTATCATTTGGCCTTTTTTATCATGTTCGTATTGGTAACTTTATTGTAAGGCGCTGCCAATTTGAATAAAACACACATATGAGACTGAAGATTTGGCGAATCATTTAAAACACTGACTGCTGTGAATCACCAATAATGCAGATCTAAGTGGTTGAGTAGTCATGTTCGCTATATCATTGATAGATAATGTTTCATTGATAAGTTCACCTTTCCCCTCTTTCATTCATAATGTTTCGTTGATAGGAAAGATTCCCTTCAAAGGTAAACTGTACTTGAAATTTCGAGCATGGTACAGTAATGAACCTCTCAATGTAATACTTTCCTTTTTGTTCATTCTTAATATAATGCTTTAGACCCCATAGTACTTATATGTTATCTCCATTATATAAAGGAACAAGTTATATTTACAAACTTTTTTTGTTTACAAACTTTTACAAACTACACTATGTAGGACCGGTCCTACATTAATCACACAGTGTACGACCGGTCCTACATTAGTGTAATTATAAAAAAAATTTGTAAACAGATCATGTCCCTTATATAAATATCCATTAACAGATGCCTCCAAAATCAGATTGTTCAAATTAGACCTGGAGTGTTTTTATTTCAATTTTTTATCAAATTTTTCGAATTGGTAGTTTGATAATTAACTTTGATTTGATAATATAATAACTAAGAATTGGCAACATATTGCCCAATAATAGATCAAGAAACAAGAATAAAAGTTTAAGACTCTAATCGTAGAACCAATGTACTCAAAATGAAGATTCTAATAATGCAAGAGTTTTGATGATAACAAATAAACTTGAAAGAAGACTCAAGTGTGATACATCTTACAACAATCAAAAAGAAGTCTAAGGAAGCAATTCAATAAGTCAACAAAGGCAAAACCGTTAAGTCAAATGACCAAGTCCAAAGAGAGATCAAGAATCCAGCCATCAATAGAAGAACCTAATTCCAAGAACTTAATTTACAAAAAAAAAAAATTCCAAGAACTTACTAGTAGTACATCCATAGGACTTAGATTTAAATGTAAAGGTAATTGATTAATATTGCATGGATGGGCTCAAAGAATATCTAATTTTATGCATGAATTATCAATGTCTTTAAACACTTAAAAGAAATTTGAAAATCTCATGAAAAACATCTTTGACATGCTTTATAATTTCAAAACATTTTCATTAAGTCAAAGATTTACATAAAAAGTGGTTGGAGGTAAGTTGGGATGCATTTGAACACAAAAAAACTGTATCTTTACTTGTTGTCAAGAAAATAATCGAATACTTCCTTGACAAGTAATCGAACACTTATGCTATAAACAAAAGTAATCGAATACTTTTATGGAAACAAAAGTAATTGATTACTTCTCGAAAAGTAATCGAATACTTTATGTCCAGTAAGCATTCCAGCAACTATAAATGGCTAGTTTCGGTTCAACACTTATATATATACTCATTTGTTACTCCTCCAACGAGTTTAAGTCACTATTTTATTGAATATATAAGCATTCCTTACTATTCTTCTTGAATCAAACATATCAATTACTCATTCTTACATATCTTGATCATAAAATCTCTTTGAGCTCTTTTTTTGTGATATTCATCAATAATACCTATAAGTTTCAACTTGTTTAATCCGTATTTTAAAAGTACTTACTCATTTCTAAACACTTTTCTATTGATTACTTGAGTTGAGGTAGTGAAACTCTTTGTATTTGAGAGATTACTAAATCTCTAAGTAAATTTGGAGTGAAGTGTAAAGGCATCCAAAAGTCTGAAGTCTTATAAGATTATAGTGATTTATTAAGCACCCTTAAAACTTGATAGTTTGTGAAAAAGATTGATCGAGCGACTTCAGTCTGAACGTAAGTCACAGTAATAATGACTGAACCAGAATACATCTAATTTGCAAGTTCTCTCATTTTCACACCATGTAAGTAAAACACAAATTAAAGAATGAAAATAACTTTCATTATCTTATTCAGAACCAAAAACAAATGAAAAATTGTATCCAGAGAAAATTATTAGTGATAAAAATTTAAGTTAACAAAAACACCGCATACTCTCTTATTTAGATTATTTGTTATTAAATGCAACTTTTATTGGAGAACTAATCTGATATTCCTTCAAATTGTCATATGGTTTATACAGATAATAATGAAATAAACGAGATCAAATGATACTGAAAAGTGGTAGGTACAAATCTAATGGCAAGAACTGTTAAGCAAATTTTTGAAATAGCGTAACTCGTGATTATACTGATTACAAAAAGGAAAAATCAAGTAGAGCTGTTAGGCCGCAATTATCTGAAATATACATTTATATCCGTAATCATGGTCAAAAAGGAGAACCAATTGGAGCTACAAGGCCGAGGTAACGCATTATCTTCAACCGACGAACCTTTCTTTCTGATTTCATTGGAGCTATCACCTCCTACAAGATAATTTATTCATTTTATGCACGTGACAAATAAGTTCTAAAAGTGTTCATGCCATAAGTTTTGAGTTAGCAACTCACATCAAAATGAACTTTGCGTTTACGTTCCCTTTTCCCTCTTCGTCTCTCTTGAAAATCATCGATTGTTCTGCTTGAGCTAGGTGAAGTACATTTATCTGTTCAAACCATAAATGCATATTAAAACGGCAAAAAGAGAAACAGGAAGAGTAAATCATTGTTGGTAAATGCATAGTCATAATCTTCTAATGGACATTCCTAGTTAGAAGTGCATATGAAGCAGTATCCCGTATGTGTGTGTGCATGTGTGATATGTGTGTGCTTTTAGAGACAAGAGTCCTAAATAGTTCTGTTATTGAGGCTGACAAATACACAATTTACAAGGACATAAGAAATGATATATGGATAACAATGCATGTGAGACTTTTAGAAGTAAGTGGTCCGTGTTTTTTTTAGTTAAAAATACTCGTAAAATAGAACTTGGGGCTTATGAAATCGTATCATTGTAAATGAGTTGAAACATTTTTGGGTCTACTATTTCTATTTGAAAAAATTAGAGTTTGTAACTAAAGAAAACAATCCAAGCAACAAAAATTGTCTAGGGACAAGAGGTTTTCATGGCACAAACAAGAATGGAGCATATTACTTTAGGTTAAAATATTATTTCCATTAACTCATTAATATAAAACTGATTATTCTTATTTATTCAGTGTGTTTATGCAGCCATAGGACTCAGTAACGCAATATTTTGTTCTGACACACTTCATAAAACCAAACACAATTCAGAGTAGAAATCAGAAATGTACCAGATGAACGCTCATGCTGATCAGAGTGAGCAGAACTACCAGGACTCAACTTTTGGCAAGAACTAAGTTGTGTCTTTCTCTCTAAGGCCTAGAATCATATCAAATAAGAAGACAAGTGAAAAATCTGACCAAGACATTGAGAGCCTAAAAAAAGAGAGATTAAAAAAATGCAAATTCTGCTGGCTGAAATTGTAAAATTAATTGGAGCCAAAACATACTGAACTTCTGCTAAATACTAAACATACTTGCTTTAGAGCCTTTTGAAAATCTTTTGAAGGGTTATTGCTCCTTTCTTCAAAAGACTGCAATAAAAAACATGCACAGACATGAGACGATGACAATATATACTTTAAGCAAACAGCTATAAAACTATCTCCTTTACCATTGTTGAAATCTACACCCTGTTCAACAGAAATTTGTGTAAAAAAAATCCACCCAATTCTCTAACAACCGACCTCAACAGAAAAGAAAAGAAGAATTTAAAAAAATAAATATAAAAAAAAGGTAGAATAGAAGGATTTGCTGCAGAAAGACTAGTTTGATACTCCACTACAAAAGTTTTGAGACATACTGCTGAGCAACACATTAGCTAAATTACAATTAGGCAAAATAAGCCCCTCTTCTCTTCCTTTTGTGGCTGAGGATGACAGATTCTATCTAACCCCTTATCTAGCACGACTTTATAAATGTTATCAAAATGTAAATACAAGGTAGTGACTTCTAAACACCATTAACTTGTATGTACAAAAGCATAGTGCAAGAGAAAGATCAAACTCACATCCTCAAATGATGAAATATCTGTCATCCGATCAACCCAAGCCCTGTAAAGCAATAAAGTAATATTCAGTACAATCAGTAGACAGGTTATGCAAATCCAAGAAACTCCCATGTGGAAAATATTTGCTACAATACCTGGGATGATTTCCATAAAACTGCACCAAAACATGTCCATCACTAACAGGGTTAGATAATGCAGATCTTTCTTCCATGATCTGGAAAAGTTTATTTTTTTTAATTAATATAGATGAATGGGTTATGAAATTCAAAATAAAAAAGTGACACGAAATAATCGGCTCCACACCATAGTCATAAGCTAATCCATTTCATTAACTAGTATTTTGAGAAAGTTGAATTCAAAACAATCTAAAGAAGTAAAATATATATACCTCAATGCAACATCAGTTGAAAAAGAAAAACAGAAATATTACTAATCTCTTTTGGTGAGAAAACATGTACAAAGGGTTACACTATTTATAGAGAAATTAATGGGCCCAAAGGAGTAAACCCAAATACTAAAAAATAAGGAAATACAATCTAGCTAATAAAGGAAACAATCTAGTTAATAAAGGAAACAATCTAGCTAATAAAGGAAACAAATTAGTACAAATATTTACCTTATTTACATCAAAAAGTATGACAAATTTCCAACAAGAGTTATAATAATTGTTGTTAAAATGTAGTCTCGACCCGGTAGAAACAGAAGAGTCTACGTTTCTGACACCAAAAATGTGTTGAAACGGTAGTAGAAACGGATTTTGAGTTGACTCGGTTGAAACGACGAGTCAACTCGTTGACTCGGCGAGTTTACCGAGTTGACTCAGTTTTTTATGCTAAGATTCTGCAAGTTTGTTAGCCCCTAGAAGCAACCGTTAGCGATGGAGGTGAAGTTGTTGCCGTCGAGGTAAACGGTTACAAGCATGGTGAGGTTCGCCAAAGAGGGTAACGAACTGGAGAGAGTGTTGCCTTGAAGCGAGAAGTAGGTGAGTTGAGAGAGTGAGTTCAGATCAGGTGGGAGTGTTCCACTATGTGACTTTGAAGCCAAATTGATGGTTGTTACACGGTTCGAACTATCATACTTCACGCCGCTCCAGTTGCAGAATGCGATGCTCGCCGACCACCCACTTGGGCCGATGGCTTTCGCTAGCTTCGACATGAACGCACCATCGTTGGCGACAACAGTTGTGGAGAGGAGAGAGAAACACAACAAAAGCGTAGAGAGAGAAACTAGGCCTTTGGATTTTAATTCAGGATCAGCCATTCAAATCACACTGTGTTGATGAGATTTGAGAGTATTTGTGTTGTGGAGATGAAGAGTTTAAGTAAAGCAAAACAAGGAGAACAAAAACCGCTGTACTTGAACGAGTTTTTAGGTAAAAACCAAAAAAAAAATGAAAACGTGGTTTAGGCAAGTGTGGACCCCAAGAATGCCAACTGTAGCTTACTAGATTATTTTCCCGTGTAGATCACAAGGATTTTCTTTTCTTTTTTTGGTACATAGTAATTATGTTTCGTTTATGTTTCTCAATTTTACGATTTTGCTCACCCCTACCATTTCTACGTAGAGTCTACGTTTTAACAACATTGGTTATAATAATGTAATCCATAAAAGCATTCAAGGAATTGGGTTTCCTTGTCTCTGTAGTAGTCTAACAAAATGAGAAAATTTTGACAAGTTGAGCATCATTATGTATAGGAAGTGAGTTTGACACAAAAATCTTCAATAAATTGAATGATTAAATATTTCCAGTGCACAATAATGGATTTAAAAGTTAAAACATTAAGTTTAACTTCTAGAGTTCCTGTGAGAGAACATTGTCTTACAAATCTCCAAAGGGAGAGAGAGGAACAGGGTAGAAGAGTAAACAGAGAATTAAAAAGCGAAGTTAATAATGGTTTACAGCTAAGATAATAAAGAAGATACCATCTTATATTTATATCAGTAAGTCTTAATTTTCATTATATTACATTAATTAGATACTATTAAAAAGGGAAAAAGGAAAAGATCATGAGGATTAAACTGATGTATAAGTTATTCTGATGATTATAGCAAATGCCATTTTAAATTTTAGATGCACGTTCTCCAAATTGCAAGAAAAGGACATGTTACAATATCCTGATGCCTGTGTATTTTCCAGTGAACAACTTAGGTAGTAAGTGAAGTGCAAGCAAAATCAAGATCCTTTAAGGATGCCAGAAAGAGAGGGCGAGCTCTATAACTATGGATCCCTTTTGTCTAAGTACATTTCATATTGCCCTATGCAAAAGCACATAGATCGAGGCAGAAAATAACAAATATGACAGGATAAAAAAGTAAATACCTCAGCAGGCCACCACATTTGACAAGAGGTTCTTGCCCAGACAACACTTCCCGGGGTTACAGCAAGAGAACTGTTATCACTGACAGATGATTCGCGAGGGGTAGATTCTGATGTCTTGAAAATATCAATTTTTTCATTACAACCATCCCTATATAAAAACATGAAACTTAAAAGTTTCAGACCACTTACAAAAAAAAGTAAAAAAATGGAAGGTCTCAAACAACTTATTAGTACTAGCATGCCTGTACAAAACAAACCTATTGCCACCAAGGTCGAGACCATCATCTTGGATGGCTGAACCAACTTCCATAGCTGGAGCATCAAAACATTCAGATGAACACACTGGTCTACCCTCTTGGTAATTGCTGCATCGAACCAGTGTATCTTCAGGAAATTGTTTCACTGCCATTCTCCTCTCCTGCAAACCGCTTGCAGTGACATTGGACAATCTCAATTCAGAAGATGAACCTGGTGAGGAACCTGTATGAAAGAATTGGCCAGATGAAAGATCAACCATAAGTTTCAACAAAATTCAATCAAAATTTGCTTATGACGGACAGATCCCGGATTTAAAACCAATGGAATAATTTAATTCAAATTACAGGTTACATTTAGCATGCTTAACAAAACCATGATTTTACTCCATTTTCAGAACATGCAACTTATCAAAAGCAAAAAGCGCGAAACTACATTGTTATTTCACATAGCTTGACAATTCAAACACCATAAAAGTCACATGAAACAAAATGCGTGAATGCTTACAAACAAACTATCGTCCTAACAAATTTTTAAAATAATATTATAATCCAGTATAGATGTGACATAAATAGGAAATCACACTGCACTAACCAAGGAAGGAGGAAAGAGAATTTTATAATCTCAATTAGGATTGCTTGTCTGAGTCTGACTATGAAAATTTGACAATTCAAGCCGTTTTCAGATGCATCGAAAGAAAAAAAACACACAAAAAGTAAAAATTCTAATATATCCATGTTGGAAATTGTAGTGTTACATTAAAGGCACTAGCTTTACAATTAGCAATTGAGAATTAATTCAAAAGTAAGCATAATTTGGATCCAGACAGAAGCACTTCAAAAGATTGAGATAAACATGCAGTGTACAGAGCAAGAAGTTAAAGAAGGTTAAACTACACTGATCCCCACAAGAAAAACCGATCGCCCTTAATGAATTGACAATAATAAAACCTCACAGTGAATAATCAAATCTGTAAACAAAACAAATTCAAGAAAGACTATAGCCATTAATTGAAGAAATCATGAAAGTGAATGGACCAAAATTCAGAATCCCCAATTGGAAAAAGAAAAAAAGAAAATCCTGGAATGTGATAAAGGGGAATTGAGAAGAGGCATAAGAACACGGAGAGAAAGTTACCAGTAGGAGAATTGGAAAGGGAGGAAGGAGTACACATAAACACAGAGAAATCAGTGCGGCGTTTAGGAGGTGAGCTTCTTGGCTGTTGAGAATACTTTGGTATACAATCAATTGGGGTCTTCTTTTTGTTGTTGTTGTTGTTCTTCTTCTTCTCACGTGTGTTCCTCTTCTTGGCCATTGCTGTGAAGAACGGAAGCAGCACAAGAGACGCAAAAGAAAATTACAAAGAGGAACCCTAGAGGAAAAGGAAGAGGAATTTGACAACAGAATCTGGTGGCATTGACAAGTGACAACGTTGATACTATGAATTACAAGACTTGGCACATTTATAATGGGCTCGGCCTTCTATGTCTCTCTATCCCATTGTGGTGGTGGTGTAAGTATTGTAGAATTCCTAGTCCTGACTACATAAATTCGAATTCTAGAAGGAATCGAATTCCCAAAAACTTGAGAGTGCCGACCAAAATACAGCCCAAACATGGAAAGAAACTACCGGAGATGTTCCATAATCGGGACTATGATGTATTTAACTAATTTTTTTTGTTTTAGTACAGATGTTTATTCACACTTAGCATGTTTTTATTTTATTTAAAAAAATTAAAAATTACAAAAATTAAAAATATTACAAATATTTTTTTGAAAATTTTTTAGAAAAATTTCAAATCAACTAAATCATACCATGTGTTTGTCTGAATAGTTGTCCTTTTATATTGTCTGCATTATCCTATTTTCCTACCGATATTTTTTTATTTGAATATTATGATTTTAATTGATAAAATACAAAATTTTTATTTACTTTATAGGTTATGATAATGACTCGCACATAATAAATGAATAGTTCATTTTTTCCCATGCTGAAATGATATTTGATTTTTATAAATCGCGACTCACAATTTTTATAAAATGCATGCTAAGCTTGTGTTAGCATGTATAGCATTACACAACTTTTTTTAGTAAAAAATGTCATTCTTATGAATTTTCAATCGAACAATAGATGAATCTTGATATTTGGTATCACCGCCTAGTAAAAAAGATGATTGTGAACCTCTTGTTAAATCCAAGAGCAAGAACTAAAAGATGTTAATACATGGAGGGTTAGCATATATGTAAAAATATTTTTTTTTTTTTGGTAACAAAAGAGGGTTAATCCCAAAACAAAAGAAAACAAACAACAAGACAAGAACAAGATCGAGACAAAATCATCTCATAATGAAATCCCTAGGCCTGAAGACCCATGCTGCATCGGTCTGCAGGAGCAAAAAGTGTCAAACATCATCCAACTCCGAGTGATCCAGGAGTTAATTAGCCAACCAGTCCGCACAACAGTTCGCTTCACAGAAAACATGCACTAGACGAAGTTGCCAGTCACGATCCAAACATTCTTGTATCTGAGTCAGCACTCACGAGCATCATCACCAGGCTTGGCAAGGAAATAACTGTTACCACATCACATTCAACAATCAGACTTCTCCACTCCGTTTTCCAAGCATACTCCAACCCTCTCAAGACCCTCTCAAAGTTCTACTAGTAGCGCTGAGCAACGCCCTACCCTGTAGGAAAATCCACCTAGCCATCTTCCTTGCGAACCCCGCAACAGGCCACCACAAGCCGCAATCCCTGTATTTTCCATTGTAGCACCATTTGTGTTAAGTTTCACCACATCAACTTTCGGAGGCTGCCAACAGATCGCCATACTTGAGACTCTTCCCCTCAAAAACCTTTTATTAACCACTTGTAAAATATCATGGATCTCAATGACCTTGTCTCCTATCGTCTACACAGAAGCACAATGCAATATTGACCTGTTGCCATGAACCTTCTCGTTCCTCCAACCCCAGATCATCCAGCAAGTTATCATAAAGGTAGAGTACCAGGGAATGTCATTGCCAACCAATCTCTGGCATTGTATGTTCATAGCCAACCATTCTTCCGTAGAGACGGAGAAGAAATCAGCCCCCCAGGTATCGGGCCAAAGGTCTTTCCAGACTTGTTGACCGAGATAGCAGTCACGCAAAGCATACAACAGCGTTTCGTTCTCCAAAGCACATATAGGACAAAGAGGGCTGCCATCGCCCTATTCTATCGTTCATGCCTTTGTCGGGATACACTCATGTATCACGTTCCACATGAACAATTTAATTCTTTGCGGCCCCTTCCACTTCCAAATCAAATTTCAAACTGTCCCGTCCACCCTCGAAGACACAACCTCACTGTCAGCTATACAATAATGATACAGAGCTTTAACCGAGACCTGAGAGCCACCCTCTAAAAGCCAGAATTTCCTATCCAACCCATCGCTCGCTCTTAGAGGAAGAATGCTTTAGAGGCGTTGGACAACCTCTTCAGGGAGAACATCTCTCAACAAGTTCAATTGCCCATTGAAAAAATATTACTTATAAGAACATCAAGTTACATCAAATTGCTATAATATTGAGTAAATTGTATTAGATTTATTTTTTATTAAAATCATTAAATTTGTTTGTTATCTTTTTTATTAACTCTTATAACTTTAAATATTTTTAAAAAAATTATATGATTTTTTTTTGTAATAAATTATATGATTTTTTAAATCGTATCCGTATTATTCTTTCAAAATTTGTAAATTTTAATAATAAATTTTATAAAATTTTGATTTATGATAAGAAAAATTAAAAAATATTGAAAGACATTACTTTTCTAAATAATCTTTTAAAATTTACAGGATTTTAAATCCCAAAATAAGTTTTTAAAATCTTAATTCAATATACATTTACATTTCTAAATTAACATGACTTTGAGTTGATTTTATATTTTTAAAATCACACTTATTTTTCTAATTGTACTGGAATACATTAGAGTGGATCTTTTTTCATCAAACCAAACATAAATTTTTACAATTTATTTTTTAACTGATTTTTTATTTTACTTAATCTGATTGTCATTTTCATTTTATTTCAAAGAATAAAATAATATTTTAAATTTATTCATAATTTACATGATTAACTTAATATTACACAATTTATTTAGGAGTGTAATAATATTAGGCTTTCACTAGACGACACAATCAAACCCTCGAAAATCTAAAATTTAAAAGACTCGTTTTTCAAAATAAAAAAATTAACTTTTTCCAATTTAAAGAATGAGGACTCGAATTTATTTATTTATTTATAATAAATTTTGGTTGTCATGTTGACTAGTACTTCGGACACCAATCCGTGGAGAGTCTGGAGACTGTCAAGTTCTATTGTTTTTTTTTTTTTTTTTTGGAGATACAATCTGGGTGTATTTCTATTCATATCAAACACCAACCCGAGACGAATATAACCCATCGAAAAAAAATTACCACTATCCGTTATCCGTTGCGCCCTTGGAATGTTACACAGCTATTATAATGAACATCGGATATTATGTTTATTTTGTTTATGTTTACTTTACTTATATATATTCAACACTATTGGATCAGATCTCATGAGAAGAGACAAAAAATGAAAATTAGTTGAGATTATGATCCAATAATCTTAAAAATAAATATATAAGATAGGTAGAATATCGTATTCTATAATAACATAATATAATGGGATAAGATATTATGTTTAGTTTTTTTTTTCATATTTATTTTATCTACTTATTTCCAATATCATTAAATCACACTCTGGACCACCCTTATTATTTCTCATCCCTTATATTATGGTCTAAAGATTTAAAAAGAAAAAAGGTAGAATAAACATAAAACAAGGTAGATATAATATTCTGTTTCTGATAAAACTCAGTTGTGTAATTTGGGGATAAATACCGAATAAATCAAAGTAGTGAATATTGTTTGTCCAGCTTATAATTAATATGAATGTAAATTTCGACAAATATTCTAATTTCTTAAACTATTTAGTATTTTTATTTTCAAAATTACTGTAATAATAATACGAATGTCAGAACATATTATTATTTAACACGTCTCTCATACTAAACATTTAGATTTGTTCTAAAAAAAGTACATATAGGTTTGTCATGCTAAAATTTAGCATTTTATTTTGGTTATAAACGAACTGATACTATATATTCTATGAAACTAAGTGCGTGAATGGTTTTAAGGGGAAAAAATATTATTAATGGATGGCTCTCATATCATTTTGCAAATGAAAGGCCGCGAGAAAAAAGCTCGTGTTTATATCAACGTTCCACAAAATGGCAACCTTAACTGCACCAACCTCCTAAACGAGCACGCAAGTACTGAAAACATTACCATATATACTCGCCAGCACCAAGCTAGGAGAAAATCTAGAAAAACACCAAAAACATCAGAGATACCATATTCCGAGAATCTCTAATCAAACCCTGTACGTAGCTGCCATGGCGTTCCCTTTGGGAGCCTTTCTGACCTCATCATTGCTCTTTCTAATTGCATTGCCAATTCCTGAAGTCCATGCAAACATTGTTGGAGGACGCAACAAAGCGCTTACCCCCAAGCATCATCGCCCCAAGTTTAGGCCTGGCCCATGGAAGCAAGCTCATGCTACCTTCTATGAAGGAGGCTCTGGAACATTTGGTATGAACAATTATGAATTAATGCTAATCGATAAACAATATTTAATTAATCCATTATACACACGTGTGATAATTGGGTCACGACCTGATATCAGAATTTCTATAACCTTGTCTTCTATAATTCAGTTTTTGTCACCTCCTATTTTTCTAATAATTAAATTATGGAATTCTATCACAAAATAAGTGAGTTTGAACATTATTCATGCTCTTACGTAAAAGAATATGCTAGAAGTATAATATAAAAGATCTCTCGTGTGACCAAATAATGATAGTTCAGTTGGCGCTAGGGAACTAAGCAGGTAGGGATGAAAGCATTGTTCGATCCTTATCCGTACCATCTTTGGGAGAGGTTTAAAGCAGCATTAATCAATCCCGGGACCCGCCCTGTATCGGACTAGTTCCAAAGCGATGAACTGATTGAAATATCTCCAAAGAAAAAAAAATCTTTCATATAGTTTTACCCCACAAATTAAACTTTTGCCATAATTGATTCATGACATAGAATATGTTTAATTTATAAAAAAAAAAATCGAAAATTGTAGCGCTTTATCATTTTATGCATACACATATATGGTTTGTTAACGAATTAACTAGAATAACTTGATTGCAGGAGGAGCTTGTGGGTACGAGGATGTGGTTAAAGACGGTTTTGGGCTTGATACTGCAGCATTGAGCACAGTTATGTTCAACCAGGGTCAAACATGTGGGGCATGTTACGAGATCAAATGCACAAACTCTCCTCAGTGGTGTAAGCCAGGCCAACCCTCTATTATTGTGACAGCAACCAACCTTTGCCCTTCTGGAGGATGGTGCAGCCCACCACGAGAGCACTTTGATTTAGCCAAACCATCATTTCTCAAAATTGCAGAATACAAGGGTGGCGTCGTGCCAGTCCAATATCGCAGGTTAGATATATATATATATATATATATATATATATATATATATATATATATATATATCATCTATGTTCATATATATACATTAATTTGCATGGTAAAATAAAAAAGGACGGTTATACTTACTACTATTTTAGTCTTACTACCAATTTGATTTCAAGTTGAAACAAGGATAACCAAATAGTTAGTGAGGATAATAAGGTTAAAATGATAATAAATATAACATTTTCCAGATTAAATATTTAAAATGGTATTAATAGTGTTTTTGTTCTAATATATGCAGGGTACCATGCAAGAGACAAGGGGGTATTCGGTTCACCATCACTGGGAATCCTTATTTTAATTTAGTAAAAGTGTGGAATGTTGGAGGTGCTGGGGATATCATAGGAGTTAAAGTGAAGGGTTCTGATAAGCTTAAATGGACAGAATTGAAGAGAAATTGGGGTCAGAAATGGGAGACTAATGCTATGTTAGTGGGAGAGTCATTGACCTTTAGGGTGAGAGCAAGTGATGGCAGATACTCTACAGCATGGCATGTTGCCCCCAAGAATTGGCAGTTTGGTCAGACTTTTGAAGGCAAAAACTTCCCTTAAATGCTTCTCCGCAACACCAACCATGTAACTGCCATCATTGGTGTTTCTATAGGTTTTTCTATACATAGGCATTATGTTGAGAATTAAATCAAATTTCTCATTAATATGAGTGATCATATCCCTTCAAATAGATCATTTTTATTTTTATTTTAATTAGAGAGATGAAAAAAAAAATAAAAAAAATAAGAATAGATGATTTGAATCCATATATCATCTTGCAATATTGCTGTGCCTCTTTGGCCATGTAGTAAATTTAATTAAGAGTAATTAATGTTATTTATATATCATGTATTTTTATTTTTATTTTTGCAATAAACGTAGTAATATTATATTATAATGTATGAATATCATTTTTTTAAATTTAATCATATCAATCAATGTCATAATAGCACATTGGAGTTTATCTTTGTCTTCTTTTCTTGACTTCTTATCTTATCATTTATTTAGTGTTTTTTTTTTGTCATTTTATCATAAGAACTTAATTACACTATAATTTTAGTTATCTTTTTCTTGCACAAATGGTTTTAAATGACATGTATATAATTTTCTAAAGTACGTAGTGTAAAAATATTTACATATTTATATTAGTTTGTTTTACTTTTCTCTTGCTCAGTTTTTGTGTCAATTGTATTAAGGGTTCATTTTTTCTGCAGTTACTGCAGATAAGTATCTGCAGTAAGTCTAATATGACGTCATTTTGGGGCAGAAATCATGATGTTTTTGTAATTTTAATTTATTTCAAGTTTATTATAATCTTTATAATTATAATTATTTAATCTTTCAATCCCAAAATGACGACGTTTTGGAAATAAATATAGATAACTTATCTATAGTAACTGTAGAAATATTATTCTGTTATACTAATTTACTAAATAATAAATTCAATCTAAGCGAACTAATGAATGTACCCTCTCATTTTTTAGCCTAATACATAAGATTTTTAATTTTTGTCCCAATTTGTTTCATTCAGAAAAAGAAGAAAAGCTTATGATAAATATTATAAACAAAAAAATTAAGTATAAAATAAATTAACCGAAAGCATATTTATATTTTTTAGTTTGCACGGAAATTCCAGGCTTGGGCTTCATTTTCATGTTGAACCTCATTTTGACCAAAAACACGTGTTAAGCTATATAAATTATTGTAAAAAAATAAGTTCTTGGTTAACTTTTTTTTACTTTTTCAACAAAAAAAGTGATTCTAGATTTAAAATTTGTAATAATTTTTTAAAAAATGTCTATTCGAAAGTGATTATAATTCTTAAATTATTAGTATACCAATAATAATTAAATCTTTTAAAAATATATATCTACATTATTATTATTCTTAATCAAAAATAAATTATTTTAATATAAATTTTTTTAAAGTTGATTTTTTTATAAACTTTTCAAAATTATTCTAAAATATAATCAAACGAGGCCAAATATTATAAATGAAATCGTAGATTAAAATATAAAATAATTTCTACTGTTATATAAAATATAATAGAAAAATTATTATTAAAATTTATGAATAATTATAAACTCAACTTTATTTTGTTATTTTAAAACAATATTTAATTATATAAATATAAAAAAAACGGTCATGTTGCAACGTTTCTCCAGCTAGTGCCAACCTCCTAAACCAGTAATATAAGTTCTTATTTTCCTAAAATAACTCCTCCATCCCCATTCAACTCCAAAAAAACTATCAAAATATCTCTCAGCGTCACACCTTTTTTTTTTTTGGAAACCTTGGGCGTCACACTTTAGTTTTGTTGGCCACATTAACAACACCATAGTACCACGGCCCGCTGGTTTAGCAAGTCTCAGTTATGCTGTCACATGGTATCATCATCGTTGTTTGTGCTAAATTTCCCTTTTTTCCTCTTTGAGTATTAATTAAAATCATAAATAATAATTAAGATTGGAAATGACACAACTATATTGTTTTAAAAATTGTATTAAACTTATTGAATTAAATAATAATTAACACTATAAATAAGTTTAATAATTTACCACCCTGACTCGTTTACCACCCCTAAACACAAGGATTGCAAGAAAAACTATTTACCTTTTCTAAATTTTATTTAACCAAAAAATTTAAATAATAATTGGATTCTCCAAACCTTAAATAAATAAATAAAATAAAATCAAAAATAATGAAAAGTAATCATGCGCAGCTAAAGGATATAATGTACAATCAAGAGAGAATCAAAGAAATAACAAAAATATAAAATAACAAACATTGATTAAAATTTCCTGAACTATGAAATAAGCCCAAAATGACACGCGCACGCACTGACAATATTTCTAAACCAATATTAAATGCATCAACAAGAAATTGATGTTTCATTAGATGAAAAATGGTTATTCGAGGTCCTCTAAATTTATTAAATTTTAAATTTAAAAAAAAAATCAAGAATTAAATTGTTATGATCCACAATAAAATTTATATTTTTAAATTTGTGGTACTTCTGAAAGATAGCATCACACAAATAGTTGTCATCTAACAACATAGTAGTTATTTTTTGACTAAATGAGCTTAATACATTTTTCAGAATATTAATGGAGGATTTAATGATATTAGTTATTATATACTAATTTTTAAGATCTAATAGTAATTGAATAATTTTTTTCACAAAGTGGATCACATCAAACTTTTATTCTTTATATATTTCATTCATATTTCTTTATGCACTACTTTGTATATGTCATGTAAGGTTAACAATATACAAAACCTACTACTATCTTACATGAAAAGAAACAAATTAAATAATGGTGCTTATAAGGAAAGAAATAAATGAAAATAATGATGATTAGTTGATTACTGATTTGAAGAGGTGATTGAGGTGTTATTTTGCAAATGCCATCCAATTAGACTATAAATATACATTCTTTCACTGCTATCTTAATGTGAACGAAACAAACTAAAATATCTGTGATTACAAAGACACGATTTTTGAAGGAATATATATATCTTCAATAGTAACGGAATAATATAATTACTCATTTACTAGAGAAGGAAAAAGTGGAAGTTCAGGATAAATGGAGAATAAATGCAATTAAATAGGTTTTTTTCCGCTTCTGTAATTTGAATGAATAATTCACAGAATCGTTAGTATTAATGGAATACTGGATATATTTTCCATTTGGAGAGGTGATTGCTGTGTCATTTCCAAAAACATTAGACAAAGTAAGAACCTTGGACCTTATATATATATTCGCCAACACCAAGCTACAACATAATCTAGAAGAATACTTCTAATCAAACCTGCAATTCCCATGGCATTTCCTTTGGGAATTATTTTGTTCTTTCTTATTGCATTGCCAATTTCTGATGTGCATGCAGACATCATTATCTCCCCATGGAGATATGAAGCGTATAACAATTTTGAAGGGGGTCACAGAGTGGGCGTTACCCGCAAGCATCATCGCCCCAAGTTTAGCCCTAGCCAATGGAAGGAGGCTCATGCTACCTTCTATGAAGGAAACTCCGGAACATTTGGTATGATCAATTTTGAATGTTGATCAATGTATAGTTTTCATTTAATCCATTACATATACTACAAACTTTTTCATCATAATAAAATAGGGGTTTATACCTCTCATGTCACTTCATTCAAAAAACATCTACCGCTCTCACATCGATTCTTGTGCCCAGCTTTTTTTCTTTTTCTTTTTCAAAAAAATAAATGAGACCCCAGCAACTGTTTCTATTGCATAAGATGGTTGTTCTCCTTTGAAAGGAGAAGTTATTTTTCCAATAAAATATGTTCGTTTCTTATTATTTTTAGGGAAAAGTGTTTATATTTGCTACATTGTATAAAGTTATCTCCAGCGACCCTAACACGAGACGTCGTTTTGGGATTTGGATAAAGAGTAATTAGTGTATTTCAGAAATTGTACTTTTCTTTTATATCATGAATTTTATAAAATTATTCAATATTTAAGTCCTAAAATAGTGTTGTTCTAGGGTTGAATGATTATTTTATGTAATTGGAGAAACGTTAATTTTTTTTTTATGCATACATGTCTTTTACTTACGAAGAAAAAGAATAACTTGATTGCAGGAGGAGCTTGTGGGTATCAAGATGTGGTTAAAGAAGGTTATGGGCTTGACACAACAGCATTGAGCACAGCTTTGTTCAACAATGGCCGGACATGTGGGGCATGTTTCCAGATCAAATGTGTAAACTCTCAATGGTGTAAAGGCCAATCCTCTATTTATGTCACAGCCACCGACCTTTGCCCTCCAAATTATAGTATACCAAGTGACAATGGAGGATGGTGCAACCCACCACGCAAGCACTTTGACTTAGCCATCCCTGCATATCTCAAATTTGCAGAATACAGGGGTGGCATTGTGCCAGTCATATATCGCAGGTTACATATACATGATCTATTTTCATAGGAGAATGATTCGTTTACAAATTTTTTTTTTACAAATTAAATTAAGTATGACCTGTCATACACTTTTGATTTTAATTAAAGTATGACCGGTCAGACATAATGTAGTTTGTAAAAGTTTGTAAATATAACATTTTCCATTTTCATATATATATATATATATATTATAAATTAATTTGCATGGTATATATTTGAAATTAATAATGTTTTTTTGTTACAATATATATGTATATGCAGGGTACCATGCAAGAGGGAGGGAGGTATTAGGTTCACCATGAATGGGAATCCTTATTTCAATCTAGTAAAAGTGTGGAATGTTGGAGGAGCTGTCAGGGTGACAGCAAGTGATGGAAGGTCCAGTGTCTCAAGGCGTGTCGCCCCTAAGTATTGGCAGTTTGGTCAGACCTATGAAGGCAAAAACTTCCCATAAATGCTTCTCTGCAACACCTACATTTGGTGTTTTTCGATTTGTCTCTGGGCATTATGTTGATAATAATATAAATCATCACTAAACATTGATTAAAATTTCCTGAACTATGAAAAAAGCCCAAAATGACACCCGCACGCACTGATGCACACAAGAATATTTCTAAACCAATCTTAAATGCATCAACAAGAAATTGATGTTTCATTAGATGAAAATTGGTTATTCGAGGTCCTCTAAATTTATTAAATTTTAATTTAAAAAAAAAATCAAGAATTAAATTGTTATGATCCACAATAAAATTTATATTTTTAAATTTGCGGTACTTCTGAAAGATAGCATCACACAAATAAATGTCATCTAACAACATAGTAGTTATTATTTGACTAAATGAGCTTAATACATTTTCCAGAATATTAATGGAGGATTTAATGATATTAATTATTATATACTAATTTTTAAGATCTTTGTTTTCAAAAATTTGAATTCTTTGGGAGAAAAGTCAATCTGGTCATTGATAATTTAATGTGTTAATTATTATTTGATTGAACGAATTTAATGTTGATT